TCGGTGCACTTATTCCCATTCACTCATTTGTGCCCTTTTTGTGGTGAGCTACAGTGTCATTGACACTTTTATTTTAATTAAATTGAGAGCTTATGATAACATGTAAATTTCATGATGTCGGCGATTTTTTCCTGCGTTAACGATTGGTAGGTTTAATTCTATCAAGAGCTCAAAGGACTACAGCATTCTGAACTCTTCATTCTATCCTGAGCAGCTATGTCCATCCGCGCATTTATCAGTTTATGTTGCCTAGAAACATAATCGTGAGTTTTGAGGGCTTCGCAGACCTAATTTTGGGCTTCAGTCACATATCCTTTTTTGTCAACCAGGTGACCAGTGTCTGCTGGGCTCCAGACGACAGTGTAATTGCTCAAACAAGTGAGGACAAAGAACTAAGGTGCGCAAATTCAAAGTAAAAACATGACGAAACTTTCTGGCAACCGCGCAGCATTCGAGGGTAATTCAGAAACGTAGCCTCTATGTCAGTGCTTCTTAAACTATTTCAGTGTCATTCACCCTCGAGTCTTTATCACAAAATTTCATTTACCCGCGACTAAATTTCCTTGTGTTTTTGGTAAGTTTCTTTCACCCGAAAATAATTTCATTCACCCTTGGGCAAACCATTCACCAGTTTAAACTGCTCTATGTAATCCACCCACCCTCCTCCGCTTGTCCACAGGCTGTGGGATCCGAGGTCATTCAACGTTGTTCACGTGTTCCCAAAGAAGCAGAACATTCTCAGCTGCTGTGCGGTGAGCGAGGACGGACTTCACTGCCTGTCCGGCAGCAGCGGCTGCAACAGCACGGGGTCCGAGCTGACAGTGAGTCGAACCAGCGCCGGTTATTATTATTATTATTATTATTATTAAATCTTTATTGCATGTAATTCAAATATAAATACTTGTACTGAAGACAGTCTTTTTCATGGAGAAAAAATCTGATAAATGCAAATGCTGTTGAGCAGTTAAAATAATAAAATTTCTGAGTGATACAGTACAAAACAGCGATAAACAACATGGAGGAAAAATAGTAAACAGTAGTGGCGACGGCGCTTAAACCGCTGCGTCCGCTTTGCGTTTGTGTGTGTTTGCTGGGAAAGGTCGGGTGGGGTAGGTTCCAAACTGGGCGCGGCGAAATAAAGAAGAGAATATAAGCTTTCTGCGGTGAGATTGCAAGACTGTGCGTTTTTAATGCGCATCGGTTCCGGCCTGTGCTAGTGACAAAGTTGACGAGATTGTCCACTTGTATTAGTGATGACTATTTTAGGTGGAAGTGACTGACCAGAAATTCACGAAATTAATAGTGCAATATTTGCTTTCGAGCCGTCTTATACTACTCGCGTCTCCCGGTTGAGTAAATTGTGTGGTGGCGCGAGTACTAGGAGATATACCGAATAACAACCAACTTATTGACCGAGAATATCCGATCATACCACTAACCTAGACAAGATCAATCCGATTACTGAGATGAAATGAGGCGGCATGTTGGACACACCCTTCCCTCGCCGGCCACGCGTCACGCATTCTCAGAGTAAACCAAACCCATCGGTATCTAGCTATACCGGTGTACCCCTCCCGCTACAGGGAGTGAAGGGGCTACACCGGTAGAGCTAGTCGGTAACAAGCTTTACTTAGCTACTTTTACCTAGCTACCTTTGAGCAGGAGTGAATGCATGGGCTACACCGGTACAGATAGTCGGTAACAACGTCAAGCTCTACTTAGCTACCTTTACCTAGCTACCCTGGAGCAGGAGTGAAGGGGCTACACCGGTACAGCTAGTCGGTAACAAGCTCTACTTAGCTATCTTTACCTAGCTACCCTTGAGCAGGAGTGAAGGGGCTACACCGGTACAGCTAGTCCGTAACAAGCTCTACTTAGCTATCTTTACCTAGCTACCCTTGAGCAGGAGTGAAGGGGCTACACCGGTACAGCTAGTCCGTAACAAGCTCTACTTAGCTATCTTTACCTAGCTACCCTTGAGCAGGAGCGAAGGGGCTACACCGGTACAGCTAGTCCGTAACAAGCTTAGCTACCTTTAGCTAGCTACCCTTGAGCAGGAGTGAAGGGGCTACGCCGGTACAGCTAGTAGGTATCATGCTGGCACTCCTCTCTATCGCGAGCGTGATAAGTGCTTTCGTTCTTGCAGCTGTGGGACCTGCGGCAGCGGAAGCCCCTGTGTGAGTTCAGAGGTCACGAGCAGGGCGTCAGCGGCTGCGTGTTCCTGCCCGTCAACCACGGCGGCCAGCAGATGGTGGCGTCCTGCGGCGCCGACTCGACCGTGCGCGTCTGGAACGTGGAGTCCAAAGGTATTTGCTTCACTAGTGCTACCGTCGCGCGGGTTGTGCGGTCGTGCACGGCGGAACTGCGGCGACGTTAGAGCACAGCTGCCGATCAATACGTGATGGCAGTATAGTTCTGTAGTTATAGGTTATCACGTCCCTAATTACGTAACGACAGAACGATGGATTAGGCTGGAATTTATGTCGTATCTGCGCACCTATTTGCGTGTAGTTGTCACGTTTCGATGCGCAGGTGGCTGCAGAAATAGGTCAAGATAGCTCACACACCGAGTCGAAAATCGAAAGATAAAGACACGAAGATTTAGCTAGTTCTAGACTTCACCTAAAAACGCACAGTCGCGACACATTTCATTCGAGTTTTTCCGCCATTAGTTTTTCAGTTAATTAGTATTTCTATGTTGAAGTTAAATATAACAGTAAGTTCGTGAAATCTCTATGGTTAGTCATAAAGAATGCTGGTGTGATTGACCGACCAACTTGCTCTGTCAATGTATTTTGCTGTATGTTTGCAATGTTTTAAATAATGCATCGATTGTGCAAGATTTTTTGTATTGGACGATTGTATGGCAGTATATATATATATATGTGCTTCGTTGCAGATTGCGTAGGTTTGTTCATGCTGGAAGGCCGTGGACCTGTCACCGGCATAGCTGCCTATCCAGATTACAGGTGCTGTCAAAATACCTATACTCTAAACATTTTACCATTTTTTTGCAACTAAAAAGTAATTAAATACCCTCCTGTTCACCTACCTGCCCATTTTGTTCAGCAAATTGTTGTCATCATTGTTTATCTAGTAACAGCTCTAATACGTCGTGAAGTAGGAGATATGGGCTCTTCCTGACATACCTCTAAATTTGGTGGTACACTTTTCAAGAATAAATATATTTTGTTTGCAGAAATTATTTTTCGTTATGTTCAAGGCTGAGGCGGTGACAGTACAAGTGCTACTATGAACTCTATAGATAATATATGTAAATGTTTGTGGTTCTGTCTTATATCTTGTATCCCTCCAATTTTTTGTCGTTTTGAATTTGTGCCATCATTGTTATTTATAACTACCCAACCAGTAGATCAAGAAGAATTGTTTCATGTGCACACGTGTGAGATTCAAATAGAAAGGTCTCTCTCTAGGTGCAGAAGATAAGAGTACAAAACTATGAGAAAATTTGAGTTCAGAGTTAGGATATTTACGTGCTGTGTCAGCCAGTATTTATATGAAATGTGCAGCTACTGCACAATCTTTAGCATCGTACTGATGTTTTCATTCATTCAATACTACCAGAAATTATTTCAGCCGATTACCTACTATCAATTTATGTAATAAATGGCGTTTTCTAGCATCCTGGCATCGACCTTCAACCAAGGAATTCACCTCTTGTCGTTGGACTACACTAACTCACACTACCCACAGCTCAAGCGAAAACTGCAATTCTAGATCTTGGCTTAAAGTTGACATGCCGCTACGTTTATCATGTCAATGGTCACTCGGGACGGTCTTCTCGTAGGCACGAGGTAATACTGATATATGAACATTATTATTCGACTTGAAAAAAAAGTCAAAACGAGCGAATTTCGTGTTAATATGTCACTGTAATAAAAATCGACGTTGTGAGAGATGGTCAGGTGCAGGTATCTTGGTTTACGATGTCGTTATGGTGATGCTGACACTGCTGTTGTTGGTAATGGGGATTAACTGATGTATGATGTCTGTTGATTCGGTTATATGAAGAAGCTGTGACGCACGCACGTACATTTATGGCCATCAGTATAACGTCATGACAATCGATTGCATGCTACGCAGCCAAAATAACGAATAGTAAAAACGTTTCTTCTGAGTAAATTAATAACTACTATTGTAAAAACCTACAGTGTCGGGGTACTTTATTTCTTTGGTGAAAAAAAAGTTTTCCGGGGGAATTTATAATATCTAATTCATTGCATAGCTGCAGACACAATTATGTGACGATATTTAGCAGTTAGTTTTGAATCGGACTGATGTGCAATTAAAGCATTGATATTTTTATAGTCCACAAACGTCCTTTGTATTGCTGCTGCACACGTACACTGCTTTTAGGTAATTAATCTATGTCCGTTCCTCTGTGTATCTTCACTTATATCGGCGGATGTACTTTACACCCGAACTTCGCTAATGGCAGAAACATTGTAACGATAAATAAGAAGAGTGACTATTCTATTCACCTTAATATGTCTGTTCGCCTTATCCGGGAAGATTACCCATGTCGGGTACTTGTACACCTGCAGAGCGTTACCGTAATATTCTCATAATGTAATTAAAGGGGGGGGAAGATGCAGAGAAAGGATATAATTAGTTAGGATGGAGGGTTGTTATATTCTCCTGATGCATTAGTGATATTGGGAAAAGAAATAAATTGCTTGGGGGTGGGGTGGGGTGATACTAGAAGAAGAATAGCGTGACAGAGGGACAACGAGAGAGAGAGAATCGATGCAGTTAGTGTGGATGTTTAAATGTCTAGTATTCGATTATTCCCATGTGGAATGCTAGATAGCAGCTATTTATTTCGTAGTGTTTGTTTATTAATGCAATTTATTTATTTTTTTACGTAGTCTTTATTCTTTAAGTGGCTACGTTGGTTTTAATGTGTGCCGAGTTAAACACTGTATCAGAAGGATCTAGTCATCGATTTATTTCCAAGCATTGGCTACATTTCTCAGAGACATACTCTTTATTTGAGGATGTTGCCAGATGTGTTTATTATATCGTCTGTAATTTCGAATCATTACTGTGTGGTATAACAAAGAAAAGCAAGCTAAACTAGTGCAATACCGGCCAATTAATAACTCCATTGCAGTTTGCATTGTTTGCCCATACGTTGTCACTGCAAGATTTCACATTTGGTGTCAGACAATGACCTGATATTTCATCAACCAAAGTGCTTACTTAATAATCCATCACGCATGCCACATACACAAAGATGCACGTGTTCACGTAAAGACATGGAAGATATTTTTTGTATTTTTTACAGAATAAAACGGGACCATAAATAGTTTAAACCTCTGTGTAAGACAATCTGATGTAGTCGTCACGTTGAATCTTATAGTGGTTTCTGATGACTTTGAAACTAACTACGGATAATGTGGAATGTCCGTCTGCTATGCTATCACTGGCAAACGTGTAAACACGTAACCACGTCTATTTCCTGTTGTTTTTGCTTGCACGCACATCAGAGGGGTAAATATGTACATGTTATGTAGCGCTCAACTTTTGTGATGTAATAAACTTACTCATGATGTTGTGAGATGAAATGAAATCTGGTTTACAGCTGCTTATATCGAATATGATCTTTACTTTTACGACAACTCTTTGATTAGGAATGCGAAGTAAAAACGAAACCAGTGAATTGATTTACCGTATTTTTTTATTATTATTTGACCACAATTATAGTTCTATTCTGATACAATACACAACAGAGATAGACAGGTGTACAGGGAGCATGTGTACTTGGCTCCGAGATGCATAAACGCTGTCGCCACCAAAGTTGCTATAGTTACCTCGTTCACACAACTTGCACATGCAGACACACGAATCTGTGCAACGTAACAGGGCACACGCCGACCCCCTGCTATACTGGGGGCAGGTCACATCGACAACAAATATTTTAATTTTCCAAGAAGCACAAGCAGCGACCCCCCCCCTCATCCTCCTAAAGTTGCAGATTATTTTGCATTTTATACAGACTGGGATATTTAACGTCGTGCACCGACTTGCTGTGCGTGTGAGAGGGTTTTCTCTCCAGCAGTGCGAGTTGATACCACTTATCGCCGGTCACAACCTAGTACGTTTGGAAATAATTCATCATCCCTATACTGGATGCATAATAGAAACGCCAACACGCGCAGTCGATAATCCTTGCCTACTTTGCACGTGGGACGACGCTCGCGCTTTACAAGACTGAAAACCCGGCACACAAGAAGGTAAAACTCACTCGAAGAGACTTATGGCTACCTTCCATCCCGCCGTCAGAGCGGTGTAGAAACCGAATATGGCGTGAAGTTCGTGAACCAGCCGCACACACGTAAGCACACACGCACACACGTTAACAAACACGGACAGGTGCGTGCACAAACACCCGATAGAATAAACTTTACCACTAGAAGCTACACACCGTACACGCGGAGCACTCCAGATCTCAGCATCCCTGTAGATTAAATCAGCACACAGTTCTCTCTCTCTCTTTTTGCAATACACATTGATTAATGAACCAGGAGATTAAAGCCGCACAATGCGCATCCAAACGCTAATTTCTCCAGTACTAGACTAGCAAATACTTCGTGTCATGCATAATCACACTACCTTATGACAAAATAAACTCTAGTTGCTCCCATTTCACTGCGCGTTTGCTTAAAACCCACAAGAAAGAGGTGAGAAAACTGGCATTCTGGCGCAAACGCCAACTGTTTGCCAAACAATATAGCCTCGAAGTGGTGACGTGACGTCACATGTTTTTATCTTTGCTACACCCGTACCGCTGTACCGCAGCACTGCTGCACGGTTGCTTGGGGATTGGGGAAACTGTCAACAACATCGGAGAATTTGAACAACATTGGAGGTATTTTCAAATACCTTTTATAAGACAACGCGCAGTGAAATGGGAGGAACTAGAGTTTATTTTGTCATAAGGTAGTGTGATTATGCATGCCACGAAGTATTTGCTAGTCTAGTACTGGAGAAATTAGCGTTTGGATGCGCATTGTGAGCCTTTAAGAGCACACGATCAATGGCACGCCCAGCGACCATGATCGACCGACGACGTTACCAACGCGGGCCCCGCGGACAACTCAACGACTCGCCGCCAGCAAGCAGCACCCTCTACCTGCGACCACCCAGACTACGAGTAAGATCGCGCGTAGCCGGGCCACCGCCTCCCTCGCCGCAGCATCGAAACCAAGGAGCGTGAAAACCGCCGCGAGAACCAAGCCGCGTCGTCGCGACGAACGTTTGGAATGCGCAACAGCATCGTTCGAGCTCGAGCCTTGACGCTTCTCGCGCGAATCACATATCGGCGTCAAAAGTGATCGCACGCTCACTGACGACGTTGCGTCCGCTGGCGGCGGCTACGTCCCACGCATCCGCCGCCTACTGGAGCGGGCATTCGTATTCCGACCGCCTATCGCCGGGTACCATTACATCGCATGCTGCTATCGGTAAGCTGGGTTTACAATACCAACTTTGTGTTGGCGAATTGGCAAATTGGACCAACTTCCCAACTATACAACCGACAATCGGCAGTGTAAACGCAAAAGTTGCGTGACCAATCGATTGATAGCAACTAGTAGGGAGATTAGAACATGTTCTATTTACGCCAACTCGGAGTTGGCGAATTGAAAAGTTGGTCCAACTCGCCAATTCGCCAACATAAAGTCGGTAGTGTAAGCCCAGCTTTACACTGGCAGGACGTGCAAGCCTGCTCAGCTAACGACGGGATGAGGGGGGGGGCTACGTTACTAAGCTTCACGTACACAACTACCGATGCTACCATTATTAATATTAATTCCATTTTTCTATATATATTCAACGTATATATAATAGACCTATGTGCAAAAGAAATCGCACACATATATAAAACAATAATTGCTAAAACTCTGCTTGAAAAAAAAAACGGATAAAATACTCATCATAATATACAGGCGGGAAGTAAACTTCCCCGACACAGTGTATTTCTAGAAATATGTACCCCCTGCGTATACTTATGAACATGATGCGATTTGTCTGGCTCCAGGATGGACAGGGAAAAATACATGCGCGCTTTCCTGCATTTCACACATTCCCGATTGCGATCGGTCTCACGATGGTACCTACGTAGAACTAGCTTGGCTAGAAAACTACCGGGGGCAAACCCTCTATACTGAACTCTGTTCACGTTTGCATACGAGAAAAAGGTGCGGAGCCAAGACAGACTCTACCTCACCGGTGGCAATGGTCTTCCACAAGTCACACAGTTACACGAATTGCATAGGGATGATCAGACCGAGCTACAATTAAAATTTCCAATCGAGATTTTGTCGTCGGACACACACACACACACACACACACACTCTTCCTTACAATTTACATCGTTCAAAACAACGAAAAAGCTAAAAACACGAATCAATGCGCCGTCCGCGCGACCGCTCGTGGATTCCGAACATACACAATATACAACGATTTCTTACGATTTTTCGGTTTTCACACGATCGCGTTTACGATTGCTTACACATCGCTACGACCGCGTTGCGCGCTCATGCCAACCTTGCGGCTACAACAACCCCACCTGTCGCCGCACACGTTAGGCGAGGGGGAGCTAGTTAACGGTAGGTCGGCGCACTGCGCGCGTTCTCGCGATGGCGAGTGCCTCGTCGTAGCGACAACAGGTCGCGACCCCGCACTCACGGCCGCCCTCGTCGGTGAGCCTGCACGTGAATTACGAAGGACGCGCGGAGGTCAGCTACCCATGACGAGACCGGCGGAGGTGAGGGTCGAGGCGGCGGACGCAGACCCCACGTAACACTCCAGCTTAATGGCTACGACAGTGGGCAGCGCGGGCGAGTTCGCGTAGCAGCGGAGGAACGGAAACGCTCGTGACGACAGCGACCGTGCCGGCGACGCGTCCGACGCGCGGTCCGAACGTCATCGTGACCACCATCCCTCTCCCCTGCGCACGAACGCGCGTTTTCCGAGCGAGTCACGGAGAGCGACGTCCGCCATCCTCGTGCGCCGAACATCGCTCTTCCCCCGCTGAGCGCGTGCGTCGACGGTGGCGCCACCTACACCTTGGAGCGCTTGGAGGGCGGCTCGTCCTGGGTGCTGTCGTCGTCGCCGCTCTCGCTGAGCCCCTGGATGTCCGGGAACTCGGGTACGGCCGAGATGCGCAGCTCCCCGCCGCCCGGCTTGTTGCCGTCCTGCGACTCGGGCCGGCTGCCGCTGCTGCTCGCCGGCTTGTTACCGCCCTGCCAAACGAACGAAGGTAGCATGATGGCAAACGTTAACCCTATCATCAGGTTATTTATTACCTCCACCCACGGAGTGGAGGTTATGTGATCCCTCTCGTGTAGTGTGTTCGTGTGTTAGTCCGTTCGTGTGTTAGTGTGTTCGCGCGATCGATATTAGCGCGTTGAGTCAGCAGCAGCCAGCAGCGAGCGGCGAGCCAGCTTGTAACACATACATGTTACATGGGGCGTATGTCGCTGGCGGAGGTATGCACTCCGTGAGTGCCCTCTGTCTAGTTATTACTGTTATTAATACTGTTATTATTATTATATTGTTGCTATTATTATTATTATTGTTATATTAATATTAACACGCGCCAACGAGCGATATCTGCATTGGCAATGCTGTGGCAACCCACCGTATGCCAATATACAATAGTGTGATATTGATTGTATATATATAATATATGCGTGTTTATGTACAGGGTTTGTTTCCCAGGAATTTTCAGAAGCACATCATCTACAGTTGAAGATGGAGGAAGGTATCCTACAAACTGGGGTCAATTATATTACGTGGTAAAATGGGCCGAGGTACTACGATGTGCTGAGCTCATATCAGTTCTGAGCAAGTGGATCCGGAGCTGAGGTCCGGAGCAAGTGGGGAATGTAGTTCGCGTGATGTGTCTCTCGAGTGTTTCTGACTCCCATTAATGTATTAAATATTCAACTACTCGTTATTCTATATTATTAATATACCTGCGGCGGTGTACCGCGTGCGGTGGAAAATCTGTGCTACAACATACTACTTTAATATATTGGGACAAATAGAACAATTGCGTAATACGACTGTAATTAATATTGCCACACAATATTCAATATTTAGAATCAGATCTAAGAAGATAATAGCATGACCGGAAAAAAACGATTAGCAAGAGCTCGACACTAACTTTTTTTCAGTGGCCCGATCGGCCACCAAAATCATTGATTTTCAATTTTTTGGCTGGCCCAAAAATAAATCTGCGTGGCCCGAAACAAAACAAAGAAAAACATAAATCTTTATTCAAATCTCGTATTGTATATTATTCTGAAAATTGCCGGCCGTTTCTGATGCACTTGCCACAGTCGTGTTCTAAAACAAAACCCCACAACATGGGCACACACTGACATGATGATTGAGGCATACATTTGGAGTATTATCCATTCCACGCCGCATCAAATTTTCACCAGGGATCTCTGCCATTTATCTATAACACCCCGCGTGTGCACATTGCTATCGATCAGTTCAGACGCTTTCAAAGAGATCAAAGTTACAGAGCATGCAAATATATAAAACAAGTAACTGTAATAAACACACACATTGGGCCTTTTCATGTTAAAATAAAAACATATTAAATTTTATCTCATCAAAGTTAAAATGCTGGCAGGTCCTTCTGAACTGTAAAAATAAAATATTGGCAGATTTAATAAGATAAAGTAGAACCATAATTATCAACAACAGTAGCCTGGGTACGCGATGCATTTAAAAAGAAAAAGCAGCATCGTGTCTAAGTTCAATATTTCGTATGCGTAACAGAGACATGAGAAAATGGCATAAATAAACTTACAAAGCACTTAATATTACACTTTCGTGATTATAAATACTTGCATCATCTTCATGGAAGTTAGTTATTTCTATCACGCTGTAACGTTTCGAACGCTGGCAGTTTCGCTTCGGATCCGAAACAGTGAGCACCAGTGGCAGCTAGCTAGCTAGCAATCAGGCTGACCAGAGTCGTCCCGTATTTTGCGCCCATGTGTCCCGCGTCCGCTTACCCGACCCTTCCCGGGACGCATTTATGTGCTGTCCCGTATTTTTAACATTTTGAACAGAGCTACATCAAAAAGAGAGAATTTCCATAATTTTTTATTATGACAAATTGTTGCCTTCGAAACTCTTCATCGCTTGCGCGTTTCACGCCTGCCACTCAGATACACTGCCAGACAGGCGTATTGTATAGACGCATTGTCTGGTTCGCTTGATTATCAAATGTAATCACATGTTGCTACGCTGCAAAATATATGCTTGGCTGCCGCTCGCTCAGATTGTTGACCTCTGGCTAGACTGGTCCGCGAGCCGAAACTGTTCGTCGGCAGAGCGTGTACATTGTTCTATGGCAGAGCGTGAGGCCGGATCACCAGTCTAGATACAATACGGGCTTGTTGCAGCCACAGTAGACGATAATACCGCTGTGCCATCGTTGTATGTCCCGTCGGTAGATATGCTGCAGGTTTCTGCAGTACCTGTGTGGGGCTCGCCCCCTCGCTTCCGCGAATTGCTCGGCATCTCTTTGAATGAGATTAGCACGTAAGAAACAATTATTATTTATCACATAGACACTCCTGACAGTTTAGTGGCCCGATCTTGGGCCATCGCAAATTTAACTTGTTTGCAAATTTTGGGCTGCCCGATCATCAATTTTGGTTGCCCCGCCGGCCACCGGGCTACGGCTAGTGTCCGAGCCTTGTGTTCGTATGACATTTATATATGACAGCAGAACCTAACTATAGAACCGCCTGGAACTTGATAGTAATATGGTGTAAATGAACAAAAAGTTATTATAACAGCATGTACGGAATGGGTTTGGACGTTTCATTTCGAAACTCTCGTGATAAACAATGTTTTATCGTGTTATCTTCATCTGCGTGGAAATACGTAAAGCATTCCTGCGCTCTCGAACTGTGCGGCTTCTCCCACTACGGCAATCACGTATGGCGCAGCGTACGGCACCGTAACCAGCATGTACGAATGAGGTTGCAGCTTCTCATTTCCAAAGCCTGTTGATAAACAATGCAGTTCGTAACCTCTGAACTGGTCCTGCTGTGCTCTGTTTTAGGCCTGCGTGGCTCAGGTTTCGGTTTCACATACCAGCAGCCGGATGAGGTGAGGGAATCGATTTTCTGTTGTGTAGGCAGCACTGTACAAGTGAGTGCTGACATTGGTGTGAAGATTCACGGAATTTGAGGGGTCTTTTCACCGGATTTTTTCTGCGAGTTTTGACGGGTTTGACAGGTTTTTTTCGTCTAGGAACACTACCCGGGTATAAGAGATGGCCCTGTGAAAATTGCATCCAGATCGCTTGGGCGGTTTGGCCGCCTATAGGGAAGATACATACATAGATACATACGAACTCAAATATATATTAGATAACATATCTTATATATTATTTATTACATGTGTTTATGGCTCTCAAATATTGGCTCACCTGCTGTATGCGGTCGTAAATGTTCTCGCCGGCGTAGCCTCCGGTCGATGCTATAACGTGACGTAGCGCGTTTACCTACCGACACAGGAGAAAAAACACACGTTAGATATCAGATATGGCCACACGCACGCACACACACACATACATACAGATTCATACACACCCACACGCACGCACGCACGCACGCACGCACACACACACACACACATACTTGTAGTGAGAGAATCAGTGGTGCACGCGCACGCGTACTCTTCATGAACAGTTACACCGACACGCTACTACGTGCCCGAGTTTATGAGACGACTTTCTTTTATCGAACCTACTACTCTGTCTATCTGTAACGAGTCTGTAGCTGTACGTGTTGTTACTACTCACTAACATCTGTTGACACTGGTGCATGGTACAGCCATTTCCTGTACACATGTGTGCTACTACTACTTAGTCCCTACGTATGCTTCTGTAAGGACTACTTAACACCCGTGTACACGTGACAAACAAGTATCTGCCACATGCGTGCATGCGTATATATGTGTGTACATGCATGCATATAGGTGCGCACGTGCGTGATGACGTTGTGACTGTACATTAGCATGGACTGCAGCGCTGGCAGGCATGTGTGAACACGTGCATGTTTGCGTACATGCGTGCATGCGATGGTGTTACACTTAGTAGCTGTGACTGTACATTAGAAGAGGATTGCAGCGTTGGCGTAGCTGCGTACATGCGTGATCGTGTGTGCGTGCGTGCGATGGTGTTACACGTACCTGTGACTGTACATTAGAACAGGATTGCAGCATTGGAATAGCTGCGTGCATGCATGCATGTGTGAACACGTGCGTGCGTGTGTGATGACGTCACCTGATGTACCTGTGACTCTACATTAGAACAGGATTTCAGCGTTGGAATAGCTGCGTGCGTGCATGCATGTGTGAACACGTGCGTGCGTGCATGCGTGTGTGTGATGACGTCACCTGATGTACCTGTGACTGTACATTAGCACCAACCGCCGCACTGGAGGAGTAGCCGTCGCCGTTCACATTTAGATTGTACATGTCCGGCTGCTGGCCCGCCATCATCTGTCCTCCACCCTGTGAGTTGGGCACCATGTTGTAGCCTGCAAACACACACACAAGACACAGACGTTCAATCAACCGGTCGAGACATTGTCGAACACACGTGCGCGCGTACACAGTACGTCAAAGCACTGGAGCCCGTTGTGAGAAACAAAATTAGTCTTAGTCAATTAACAAATTAACAATTTAAACAAATTAACAAATTAACAAACATTAGTCTTAACACATTAACATTTTCTCGTAGATCGTCGACAGCGCTTTAATTCGTATTCTTATGAGGAAATCTGCTACGATTTTTCATTCAGGTAACTTCGCAGCGTTTCTGTCAACGGTCTCAGAGAAAAAGTTAACGTTACGACTAATGTTAAGACTAATTTTGTTTCTGACAATGGGCCCCTGATCGCAAGATTTCCGACTCTCGTCGAACGCTGCTCACGTTCGACGAAGTTCCCGATTCGATTCATGTCGTGTTAAGATGACGAATCGATAAGTTAAGAAAACAAAACAAACAAATAAAAGAAATGTCGACGAGTGTCATACCACTTCAATGTTTACACGGTCTCTTACACTAACGAGCAATCGAATTACGAAACAACAGCATCACATTATGATCATGCACAGTTCACATTGGCCTCCTATAAAACACAGCAATGAAGTCAATTGTAAACCTATGAGTATAACTGAAATAGCGGCACACGACTGCACCTAAACGACCCTACGATGATCAGGTCACACAAAACAATAAACACACGAAGCTACGTGTTTTAGCTGTAAGGGTGTAAATGGTGGAGTTATCCTAACACAATCTGCCTTTCCCTTGTAAAAAAAATGGAGAAGATCTGGTGAAATTTGTGTAGGTTGTAAAAAGCTGCACTTGGGTTTCCAGGCCTATACTCATTATGCAGAGTATTATTGGATTTTTTATATTTGATCATTGGTTGGACTCAAGAGCAACAATAAGCAGCAGCAGCATGAGCAGCAGCGGCAGTAGTAGTAATAGCAGCAGCAGCAGTAGTAACAGCAGCACCAACAGCAGTAGCAGCAGCAGCAGCACTAGCAGCAGCAGCATCAGTAGTAGCATCAGCACCAGCAGCAGTAGCACGAACAAACATGGTTTTAATTAATCCCAATGCACACAGCTGAACTGTGAAATGCGCATCAGAAATAAGCGCCGCCGTAGATTGACAGCGAAAGCGGGCGCCAGAAATAGCCGACACGACCGCGTCCGCACCATTTATCTGCGTCGCTAACCGTGTGCGTGGCAGCTCACGCGTAGTTTGCTACTAATGCCGAGATTTCTTTGCTTGACGTCCGACGACGACGCAAAATGGCCACCTTCCGTTTACCGTCAGAGCGGCACGCCTGCCCATGTGATCCCTCCTCTACACGCCACCCTACCTAAGCAACAAACCCAGCTAAGACTAGTGAATTGAATCACGAACTCCGTGGCTCCGAGGCCCTCGCGGCATCCACCCCATCCATCCACTAACCATGGCTAACATTTCTGCTTATTTTCTTTTTAATATAAACTTAACCCAGAAGTACCCGCGACTCTCGTTCCACGTAACATAATCAGTGACCCCTAATATTTTCGGCACTTGACCAGGCGTGGGTGCTTCAGATAATACACTACAGTACACAAAATTTTCGGACTCTTTCACGACACCCATGATGTAACATTAATTTCCCAGACCAACCAATTGTATAGGCACCGTAACAACCTACATGCATCGTTTCAAAATGATCAATATGAAGGTGAAGATATCTATGTTTATCGGGAACCCACATTCAATGTCACAATGACCATGGTACTATAAGATGACCCATGCCTCACAACGACAACGATGAATTCTTCTCTCTAACACATCCTTTGCCTAACACTCTCCTAAATTTAACCATTTCTCACCAACCTCACACTCCGCTGACCTTGCACTGACCGACGGAAACCCAGCTAGCCTAACCGATCTCTGCCAAGCAAAGCAAGCGCAACAAAATATTATTTACAAAACATTAGTTGCTTTTCTCTTTGAACTTCATAGGTCGCAAGACGAAATCGGTGAGAACAGATCTGTCATAGCTCGCCCTGATCCAGTCTTCTATCAACTACTCCCATCATGGTTCATTCCACTCTACCCAACTAGTGCCGACTCGTACCCAAGACCCGAAGACCCCCTCTCTACCGCCTCTCTTTGAGCGCCACAGATCCGTAGCATGATCGGTCATGCGTCGGTCGCTACAGATGCGGCTCCGACGCATTTCTCTCCGTCACCGTTATCAACATCAGCTTCTTCCCCTCGCTGCCAGACGAGACAGCCGCCATCGATGCGTAACGCGGCTCTACCTAAGCGACGACGACGGCGCGAGAATGAGCGACGCAACGATTCGCAAGCACCGGCCAGCGATTTGATCGGCTGCGCATGCACGCACGGGGCGGGCGGGCGGTCGGGAGATGGTGGTGCAGGGGGCGCTAGCGGAGGGAGCCACGGGGCGCCTAGCTCGTCTCCGCGCAGCGCGTTACCTTGCTGACCTCCCGTCACAACCGTGGCTGCGGCAGCCTTTGCGGCGTACAGGTTAGCTTCCTCCTGCGCTTTACCTATGTTCTTCTTATAGCGGATGCGCTTGTTGCCAAACCAGTTGGAGATCTACGGGAGGAGAAATTGACACAATGTCGGTTACTACTGGACGCAGCATTACCTGACTGACTAGCATTCATGGTGGCGGCCGCCCGGGATGCGGCCTTCGCCGCGTAAAGGTTCGCCTCTTCCTGCTCTTTACCTATGTTCTTCTTATAGCGGATGCGCTTGTTGCCAAACCAGTTGCATATCTACAGGAGCAAAAATACAGTACGTTAGGCTCGATAAACAGTGCCGTTGGTTGAGGTAGCACGAGCGGTTTTCGCTGCCGAGACGCCAAGAAAACGCAGTACTGTCTCAGGTGTATCGACGACTCGACGAGAAAACATGAGACGCGGGGTGGACGCGTTGACGATCGTAATATCGAGCGAGGAACGACAAGTGTTACAGGTGCCCCACCACGAAGAACAGAAGTAGTGCATATGCTACCACAACCAAGAGAAGTGTTTACGCGGCCTTGCCCTGTATGTTTTGTTCTCCCCGGAGTGCAAATCGCGTAAAACGTGCCTTCTCAATTATGTCGTGCCGTTGAGTGCAAAACCTCGGCGAAAGTTCGTTATTTTTCCCTCGCCTGTATTGATAGGTTTACGGAAATGACCAGGGATTACGTTTATTCCGAACATTTGCATTGAAAGAATAACTAGCAGAATGAGTGTTGCAAATGATATTTAGATTTTCCATGGCTCGTGACATCGGCGATGCCACAGCGAGAAGCGATTTTCGAGCTGCACATCTCTGATGAAGACACTTGTCGGTACAGCTTCTTTTTTCACGGCTAACGCTTACTCATGCTTACATCCATAATTCATGCAGGTTTTACGGCGATTTGCTGCGATTAGTTTGCGCAGGAAGGCTTCTTTAATAATCGAGTTAATTGCTTTTGCACTCAACGCGGCCCAATCAACTCGCTGCCGACGGAGCTTAGACGGGCGGCGCGACTGCGCGCATGCCGCCACCTGAAGGCTTCGTCTCGTCCTCCCGTCCCGCGGGAACCGCCGCGCACACGTCTAAGCTCGCGTAGGTTTCGCACGCCGCCGCGACGAGGGGAGATGGGAACCCTCCCCCGGGATCGAACCACGAGGGGATCAAACCCCGACAGGATCGAACCCCAAGGGGGATCGAAGCCCGGGGGGGTCGAACCCCGGGGGGATCGAAGCCCGGGGGGGATCGAACCCTGGGGATCGAACCCCAAAGGGATCGAACCCCGACCTCGCTGCTACCTGTGACACGGTGATTCCACACTTCCTCGCCAGCTCCTCCTTCGCCTCCTCGCTCGGGTACGGGTTGCTGAGGTGCGAGTAGAAGTACTCGTTGAGAATCTCCGTCGCCTGCTTGCTGAAGTTCCTCCTCTTGCGCCTGCCGGAGGACAGCAACGCGCGAGTGAGTGTCGGTGATCGCGAGTTACGTCGTACGATTGCCAATTATGAATGAATCCGGCCGGTTCAGATCGAATGTGTTATCAATTAAAATTAAAATTAAAATGACAGGCTAGACCAATGAATTGGGACCTCCTTTACGGATTTTCCGATGTACACCTTCGTTCTGCACCCGGCACCAATGAATACCCCTTCAGTAATACATTATGAATCACAGTACTTTCGAAAGAAACCGTTGTCTTCTGCTAGCACTTTTAGAAAGCCCGAGAGAAGGATCG